CTTAGCTTTCCCGTCAGCCTTTGAATGCGAAGTTCCAGCAGGGTCATCACCTATATTTAGGTCAGCCAACGCATCTGCCGCCGCAATGGAAGTAGAAAGGCATTGAAGATTCTGCCTTCTCAACTCCAATTGCGCCCAACCCTTCAACCCGCTCATGAAGTAATGCAGCTTATCTTCCTCTACCATATTACTTACATTGAGCATCAAGGATGAAAATTCCTTGACATACTTCGCCACTGTACCACTTTGCTTCAAGCGACGAAGTCCATCTCGTGCCAACCACGACGAATTAGTTGGAAGGAATTGGGATTTTAATTCCTTCTTCAGCATCTCCCAAGTTCCAATCTTGGGCAGTCCAGCACTTTCCGTTTCTGCCATTCGTGTGCGCCACCACACCTTTGCATCACCAGTCANTGCCCAACCTTGGCACATCTTGACATTGCTTTCGCGCCAATGCCTTGCCCGCATCCGCTGCCTGTGATTTTGCCGCACATGCCCGACGCAGCTGCCGCCCGCACACTGTCTTGGCCCAAATCTGCCTTGCTCATGTCAACCTTCATTTCCCTCGTGCCATTGCTTGTATTTTCCATCACATAACTTTGCCTTAGCTATTGAAAGCCTTTTCCATCATCTCGCATTTCCGTCTTGTCTTAGCTTAGCCCGCACTTAGCTGCCACAACCCAAAGTGTCATGCCCCTGACTTTGGCGCGCATGCCGTGCCATGCCGCCCTAACATTGCCCACACAGCTTTGTCAAGCCTTTGCCAAGCGCACCTTGCCTGTCCCAAGGTCTTGGCCCATACTTGCCTACAACAGCCCTCAATGACAATGTCTTGTCCGTCTTCCGCATGATCGTTTTGCCCGCACATGGGCCAATGACAAGGCCATCACGCCCAAATCCTTGCCACAGCCGTGCCACGCCCGATGACAAAAAGTCAGGCCCTAACAATTGGGAACCCATGTACAGTTTCAAAACTGAAGGACTTTGTCCTTGATAAGTAGCCCAATTTGTTTTTTTTGCAAGAAACTAAAGTTCTGGCTTCGAAGGTTGAATCAGTTCGAGTGGAATTGGGGTTTGAGGGACTCCTAGCAGTTGACTCAGTAGGACTCAGTGGTTGTGTTGTACTAGTTTGGAAAGAGAAAGGCATGTGCACCGTTCTTGGATACAGAACTAACTTTATTGACGTCAAAGTTGAAATTGTTGGCCTTCCATGCTATCGATTCACAGGCTTCTATGGTCTTCCTGGTTCACACCAACGAAGACAATCATGGAATATCATGCAAACACTTAAGAATACTTCTTCTCTACCATGGTGTATTGGAGGAGACTTTAATGATATCCTCTCTTTTGGAGATAAAATGGGACGGATTCAACAACCAGTTTGGCGTGTGGATGGCTTTCGGCAAATCGTCGAGGAATGTGAACTAAGAGACTTGGGGTTTACGGGTAATCGTTTCGCCTGGGAGAGTCACAGGAATACAAGAAATTTGTTCTGTGAACGACTAGATCGTGTTTTGACCACATCTCAGTGGGTCTTCCTATTTCCAAAGGCGCAGGTCCATCATGTTGAGGCAGCGAATAGTGATCACTCCACTCTGTTCTTAACACTAGGGGTGAGTGTTATTCGATATGCCTTTTAGATTCGAGAATGCTTGGCTCAAAGAGATTGACATAGAAGAGGCAGTTTTGGAGGCGTGGTCATGCGGCAGAGAAAAGCCAATTGGCAATCGCATTGCAATTTGTGGAAACTTTCTAAAGGAATAGGGGGAAAATAAGAAAGACAAATTCCGCACTAAGCTAGAACAATGTAAGAATCAGATGTATAAGTTCAGAGATTGCAATAACCCGGAGCATGCGCAACTGTATACCGCAGCTAAAGATGCTTACTTACAGATTTCTAAGCAGGAAGACATGTATTGGCGCCAACGTGTAAAGAAACACTGGTTACACGATGGTAATCTTAATACACGCTACTTTCATAACATGGCTTCAGTAAGGAGAAGGAAAAATTTACTGGTGCAACTTAAGCATAATGATGGAAAATGGGTTGGATGGGATAACGGACTCAAAAATCTGACTATCACCTTCTATACGAATCTGTTTTCATCCAATCAAGGGAGTATGCACGAGATCCTGGAGATGGTTGAATGTAGAGTTAAGGAAGAACATAATATCTAGCTTAAAAGGCCATTTACTAGAGAGGAAGTTAAGACAGCAACCTTCGATATGCACCCTGATAAGGCACCGGGATCGGACAGATTGAATCCGGGGTTCTATCGCTCGTTCTGGTCTATCATGGGCAAAGATGTTAGTGACGCAGTTCTAGTGACTCTTAACCACAATATGCCAACTCTGAGAGGAAACCTCACTAATATTATCTTAATTCCAAAGAAGAAGATTCCTGAGAACATCACAGATTTACGCCCTATATCCTTATGTAATGTGATTGACAGGATCGCATGCAAAACCATGGCCAATCGAATGAGAAAGTTTATGAATGTAGCAATTACGGAGGTCCAAAGTGCCTTCATCCCTGGAAGATTTATTCGGACAATGCAATGATTTCTCTTGAAACGATGCACTACTTGAAACTCAAAACACAGAGGAAAAAAGGATATGTGGCTTTAAGGCAGCATCTGTTTCACACCTATTTTTTACGGACGACGCCTTGCACTTTTCTCAGGCAGAGATTGGTGAGGCAAATATCATTAAACTCTACCTTGATAGCTATCAGAAGGCTTTTGGACAATAGGTCAATTTGCAAAAATCTGATTTATACTTTAGTCAGAATACATTGAAAGATATAAAGATAGCGATAAAACATGCGCTTGGAGTGAAAGAGATTGCTACCTCGAGCAAATATCTCGGATTACCATCCATTGTGGGTAGAAAAAAGAAGGACATCTTCCAATATGTATTAGATAAAGTTTGGAAAAAAATGCAAAGGTGGAAGCAAAAGTACTTCTTTAGAGCTGGTAAGGAAATCCTACTGAAAACAGTGGTGCAAGCTATCCCAAATTATGTTATGATGCTATTTCTTGTCCCAACAAGAACTTGTGACTCAATTGAGAAAGCAATGAATGGGTTCTGGTGGCGTGGAAAAGGTGGTGACCCTCGGGGAATGAGATGTATGGCATGGAAAGGGCTATGTAAACGAAAAGAAGACGGAGGATTGGTATTTCGAGAGGTGCAGGATTTTAATTTGGCTATGCTAGCAAAAACAGCATGGAGTTTGTTGACACGACCGGAGGCACTAGTGAGCCGAATATACAAAGCTCGATACTTCCCTACAGGAGATTTTCTTTCAGTAACAGTGGGAAATAACCCCAGTTATGTTTGGCGCTCATTATGCGTGGGGTTACAGGTCTTACAAGGGGGCTGTGTTAGGCGTATAGGAGATGGACGTACAATAAAAATATTCCATACTCCATGGCTACCATCCGACCAATTGCAAGTTATTCAAAGTGTGAGCAATAATGGGATTGAGGAGATGGTCGTGTCAGAATTAATATGTGAGGAGACTCGAACATGGAGAGAAGTGAAGCCGGAGACAATTTTTAATGCACAGGAGATTGAACTAATACAAAAAATACCACTAAGCTCGACCTGACAGCCGGATAAATAGATGTGGTTGTTATGATAAAGTCGGACATGAAATTGAGGCAAGTCGCCGACAACTTTGGCAATCATTGTGGCAGTTGCGAACCCCACCAAAGATAAAAAAGTTTATGTGGAGAACGATGAACAACGTGCTCCCAATATGTGATAACTTGACCTGACGACATGTGATGAATAATGCAACTTGTCAATTGTGTTGGCAGCACCCCGAAACCATCAAGCACTGCCTCCTTAATTGCACCATGGCTAAGGCATGCTGGCTGCAATCTCACATGGGATGGACAGAAACAACTTTGAATATGGAGCAGTGGTTTAACAAGCTTAATCATACATTGAACAAGAAGGAGATTGAAGAAGCAATCATGATATGCTGGGAGATTTGGAACTATAAAAATGGTGTAATCTGGAACCAAAGAACGAGTATGGTGGATCACATACTAGATAAAGCTATTAGCTTCATCAATGAATGGCGCCAGTTACTCACGCCATATGCTTCACATGGGCAGGATAACGAGGAGAATCAAAAGTAGAAACCCCCATATGGTTTATCTCTCAAGTGCAATATTGACGCATCCTTCAACCTTGCAACCGGTGAAGCTGGAGCAGGGATGGTTGTTCGGGATAGGCAAGGTGAGTTTTTGAGAGGTATATCGATATACATAGGGGCAACATTCAGTCCGATAATGGCAGAGGCATTGGCGGTAAAGGAATCTCTTAGTTGGCTGAAGATTCACTACGAAGACACCGAGATAGAGCTCGAGATGGATAGTCTATTTGTGAAGAATGCATTAGAGAAGGCCGAAGATATTTACTCATATTTATCTGACTTGATTTCTGATTGTAAAAACCTCTTAAGAGTTTTTCAGTTTCTGTCTTTATCTGTTGTTCGAAGGTCTGCGAATTAGGTTGCTCATGCATTAGCACGAGTGGCTGATTCTATGTCAGGCTCAGTGGAGTGGAATACTAGCCCTCCATCCTTTATTGTAGATGCTTTAAATTTTTATTTGAATATTTAAGAGATGGTTTTTTCACAAAAAAAAGGTCTATCTAAGATTCCTCTATATATCGCGATATTCCATCACCTCAAACTTAAACAAATTAAATTGTATGATTAAAACTAATCGTAAATCAAATCTTGAAGAAATCCTCATTTTAGGTGATGTCTGTTAAGTACAGATATTTAGAGAGGAAATGACAAAATCTAAGATAGGGTTCATGACCTGAGAGAAGTTTCGAGATTCAATTGAGTAAAAAATGAAAATCTCTCTTTACAAGAATAAGAAGGTCACTTATAAATAGTGGGCCTTGACCCGGTGACCCAATTACAGAGTAATACAACATGGGCCAATTCTAAATTATAATAATGGCCCAAAGATAGCATAAGCCTTTATCTAATACTCTAACATCCCCCCTCAAGTTGGAGGGTGGTAAAACCTCCAACTTCCGAGGATGAAAATGATGAGCTGGCCTAGGAAGGGCCTTGGTAAGAATATTAACAACTTGAGTATCAGTGGATACATGACCCAAGCTAATAAGCCCATCACCAATGTTGCCTCTAATGAAATGACAGTTCAGCTCTATATGCTTAGTCCGCTCATGAAAAACTAGATTGCGGGCAATGTTCAAAGCTGTCTGGTTGTCATAATACAAAGGAAGGGGAGAAGAGGAAGGAAGACCTAAATCAGACAACAATATTGAAAGCCAAGTAACCTCAGCTAAGCTTTACTCTTGGCCCTGTACTCAACTTGAGCAGAAGAAAGAGAGACCACAGGCTGCTTTTTGGATTTCCAGCTCACCAAACAATCAACAAGAAAAATACAAAAACCAGTTACAGATCTTCTACTATCAGCACAAGAAGTCCAATCAGTATCAAAATATACTTTTAAAGAAAGGTTAGGAGAATTACTAAATAATGACCCAATGTCAAAAGTCCTTTTCAAATACCTCAAGAGATGTAAAGCAGCTTGCATATGAGGAACACAAGGAGTTTGCAAGAACTGACTAAGATGTTGACATGCAAAACTGATATCAGGCCTTGTGTGTTAAGAAATTTAACTTGCCCACCAAGCATCTATACTCTTCAGGCTTGGGCAAAGGATCACCAACAGAAGCCTTTAATTTCTCATTGAGAGCAAGAGGACAAACAACAACAGAAGAAGCAAATGACTCTAATAAGTCATGAATAAACTTCTTTTAATGAAGAAGAACCCCATAATCACGATAGAGAACCTCAATTTCCAAAAAGTGATTAAGAGAACCAAGGTCCTTAATCCTGAATTGTTCGTGTAGAAATCCCTTCAAGGAGGAAATCTCAGACAAGTCAGTCCCAGTAACAATGATACCATCCACATACACTGCTAAAATGACCAAGAAAGAGCTAGAACCCCTAGTAAATAGGGAGTAGTCATTTAAAGAATGAGAATATCCTTTAGAACAAAGAGCCTAAGACAATTTAGCATACCATTGTCTCGAAGCTTGTCTCAAACCATAGAGGGACTTGAGTAGCTTGCAAACCAAAGGAGGAGAAGAAGAAGAGGAACGAGAAACAGATAAACTAGGAGGCACCTTCATGAAAACCTCCTCATCAAGACCCCCATGTAAAAATGCATTATTAACATCAAGTTGAAATAAAGGCTAGTGTTAATTGACAGGCACAAAAATGAAAGACTTTACAGTAGACATTTTAACAACTGGAGAAAACGTTTAATGAAAGTCAACCCCTTCAACCTTAGTATCACCCTAACTATTAACCTGGTCTTATACCTATCCTGACTCCTTTCAGCTCTATATTTCACTTTGTATACCCATTTGCAACCTATATAAATCTTCTAAGTGGAGGAGGAGATAAAAGAAGAACAGAAGGGGAAGATGAGCTAGGGGAAGGAGAGATAATAAAATTAGGGGAACCTGGGGAAGAAGGAGGAGGGGTAGAGGATTGGGGAGAAGAAACAAGAATAGAAGGAGATAAAGGAGAAGTTGAATCATCAGAGAGATTGTCAGGAACGAGAGGAGAAGGCAAGATAGGGGATGGGGGAATATACGATTTGGAAAACGGGAAATGTGTTCTTGGAAAGTCACATCTCTGGAGACAAAACAGTATTTAGTGGACAAATCGTAAAGTTTATAACATTTTTGGCAAAAGTGTATCTAAGGATCACACTTGGGACAGACCTAGGATGAAATTTATCTCTATGGGGTTTGGGCACAGTTGAGTAGCAAAGACACCCAAAGTATCTAAAAGTGAGAATATATAGGTTCCTTGCCAAAAATAACTCATAGGGACTCTTGTGCTTGAGAAGAGGTGAAGAAAATCTATTTATCAGATAAGTGGAAGTAAGGAGACAATCACCCCAGAATTTAATAGGAAGATGAGATTGAAACAAAAAAGCCCTGACAGTCTCTAATAAATGCCTATATTTTTTTAACTACACCATTTTATTGTGGAGCGTGAGGAAAAGAGGTCTGATTAATGATCCCTTTTTTCAGATAAAAATGAGAACCAGATGAAGAGGATCCTAGCTCTAAAGCATTATCACTTCTCATAGTCTGAACTCTAGTTTGAAACTGTGTTTCAACCATAGAAATAAAAGCCTTTGACAAATTAAAAGCATTGCTCTTTGCCCCCATCAGATGTGTCCCGATAGCCTAGTATCATCATCTACTATTGTAAGGAAGTACTTAGAAATAGAGTGAGTAGGAGTGGTGTGAAGGCCCCAAGTATCTATCTGAATAAGCTGAAAAGACTGAGTGGACTAAATAGAACTATCAGGAAAAATGAGTCTAGTTTGTCTTGCTAAGGGGCAAATGGGACATGTGAAAGACCGCTTGGAAGACAATCCACTATCAAGATCAGAAATAAGTTTCATTTTGGAAAAAGGGAATGTGTCCAAGTCTATAATGCCAAACAACATCAGAATTATTCAATTTATTTGGACTAACCATGGTATTTACAGATGAATTGTCAGCAACAACATTATTAGACACTACAGGTAAAGAAGAAACAACAGAAGAACAAGAACTAACATTAACAGACTCAACCGGAGAAGTCACATGCTAAAATAACTTGTAAAGTCCATTGTCCAGTCTACCAAGCACCACTGGCTTCCTCACTGAAGGGCCTTGGAAAGTGCAAGTAGACTTGGTAAACTGTACAACATCATCATAATGAGACAAAAGCTTCTGGACATATATGAGATTATGTTTGAAACTAGGGATGTAAAGAACACTAAGAAGAATTAAGTTAGGGAATAAAGCTAAAGAACCAACATTTGTAACCTTTACTTTGTACCTATTTGGAAGAGACACAAGTTAAGAAACATGAAGAGTGATTATATCAAAAAGCAAACTCCTAATGGAAGTCATATGATCAGTAGTTCTAGAGTCTATTATCCAAATAACGCCATTCACACTAGACAACATACAAGCTCCATAAGAAACACCCTTATAAGGCATGGGCTTACCAGCAAAATTAGCAGAGGCTAAGAAAGGTGGATAATATGGGGAAGCAGAGATTTGGAATTGTTGTAATAAGATCATCAGCTGGGAGTATTGATCCTTGGTAAGGCCAGGTATCACAAAGGAATCCTCATGCTCAACTGGACCATCAAAACTACCAAACACAGAGGAACCACCAGAGGATTCAAGCTCAACATGTGCAGTAGTTCTGCGAAGAGGAGGTCCTTTGTTGAACTTGAAATTAGGAGGATATCCATGCAACTTATAATTTCTATAGAATGTCCAGGCTTCTTGCAATATTTGCAGATAAGAGAAGTCCTGGGAGCCTCAAAAGAAACCTTGGAGGGAAATGATGGCTTAGAAGTACCAACATTAAAAAAAATAGATTGTGTTGAGAATTGGGAGTCAGAAGACACCTGCCTCTGCTTCTCATTACATAATAAGATGTTGTACACATTTCCAACAAATGGAAGTGGTTTCATCATTAGAATGTTGCTGCGATTTTGCATGTAGGTATCATTCAGACTCATAAGGAAC